CCTCCTCCGCCCTTCTCCCCAGGCGTGGGTTTCTCGCTCAGAAACGAGTGAGCGGGGAGCTCAGATAACGGAGGCGGTAACACCCCACGTCCTGGCCTCCGGGTCGCTCGCTTCCTCAGAATAAAGGAAAGAAAGCCTCCATTTCGTGGAGAAACTGCTGACGATTTAAAAACACGCGCCCATGGGGGCGGGGGGGAGGGGGGGGATAAGTTAGACATTGGAATCCTGCGGAGGGGCGGGAGGGAGTGGGTTCCCCTGTGTGGTGCTCCTACCCGTGCAGATTGGGCAGCGAGAAGGCCGATGTGTCTGGCGGAGGTTTGGCTTCAGCGAGCCCGGCGGCGGGTGCAGTTTAATTGCCTCGTTAGTTAAGGGGAGGAGGGACTGTGCCCGTGTGTACACATCCGTGTGTGCTTGGGGGGGCGGGGGGGGGGTAATAGCATTGAATCGTCCAGAGTGGACTTCCCACTGTCCCTGCTGTCTCTCTCCCTAAAAAATTTTTTTTTAAAAAAAGGTAAGATTTCCTCCTCCTCCTCCCTTTTTGCTAATCCTCACCAGAGGATATTTTTCCTGTTTATTTTTATAGAGCGTGGAAGGGAGCGGGAAGAGAGAGGAGAGAGAGAGAGAGAAACATTGATGAGAAAAACACATCAATTGGTTGCCTCATACATGCGCCCCCACCAGAGCCAGGAACAAACCTGCAACCGAGGAATTGAACCTGTGACCCTTCCATGCTCGGGCCAGTGCTCTAGCACTGAGACACACAGGCCAGGGCAAGATTTCCTTCTTTTTTATGGCCAAGTAGTGTTCCATTGTGTAAATGTACCACATGTTTTTATCCACTCACATACCGGTGGGCACTGGGGCTGCCTCCAAATCTTGGCTATTGTAAGTAGCCCTGCAATAAACAGGGGTGCACATATTCTTTCCAACCAGTGTTTCAGGTTTGCTTGGATAATATATTCCCAGAAGTGGAATCATTGGATTATAAGGCAGTTCCACGTCTAATTGTTTGAGATCTGGAGATTTGCTTTGTAACCCAGTAGAGAACTCACAGCATTTCACTGTTCCTCCATGTTAGGGGTGAGTATTGCCAGTGATTCTGCTAGAACTTCTTGCAGAAACAGAGAATATCAGGGTCACTCTTCAGTTAGCAGGCATCTTGTATTGTTCTCAAACATTACCCTGATGCTTTGCATGCAAACAAATGTTCTGGGACTTAACCAATGAGAATCTTAAGATTTCTCCAATTCCTCCACCCAACACAGTGACTTTCCTGTGATCCCTCTCCTACTCACCTCCTCAGTGAGAAATCTTCACAGCAGAAACATCCCTGCTTCTCAAAGTTGTATTTCCCCACAGACAAAGGATCAGTATTCAGAATATGTAATGAACTCCTACAAATAATAAGGATCATCTAATTCTCCTAAATTTGGGCAAATGCTTTGAGCCATCACAGATGGTGAATAAGCCTGTAAAAAGATTGAACGTGCCCAGGCCAGTGTGGCTCAGATAGTTGGGCGTTGTCTTATGGATGGAGAGGTCAGGGCCCATGCCTGGGTTGGGAGTTCATTCCAGGTGGGGGCACCTATGGTGTTGAACAGTGTATTCAGTGCATAGGGGAGGCAACCAATCTCTCACACCAATGTTTCTCTCTATCGCTCTCTCTTCCTCTCTAAGAATAGTATGTCCTCAGGTGAGAATTAAAAAAAAAAAAAGAGCCCCAGCCAGTTTGGCTGAGTGGAGAGAGGGTAGGCTTGCGGAATGAAGGATTCTGGGTTTGATTCTGGTCAAGGGCATGTACCTCAGTTTCAGCCCTGGTCAGGGTGGGTAGGAGGCAACCGATCGATGTCTCTCTGTCCCTCCTCCTCCCTTCCACACTCTCTAGAAATCAGTGGGAAAATATCCTCAAGTGAGGATTAACAAAAAATAATGAAAATAAAAAGTTCGTGCCCCAAATCATCAAGATAAAACAAACAATGGGATACCCTGCACACCATAGCATTGACAAAATGTCAGTATCTCTGTAAGAAGTGGTAGGCAGGAATGGAATGCCAGCCATTCTCTTACATTGTTAGTAGGAGAATAATTAAGTCACTCCTTTCACATACGTGCATGTCACCACATCCTGAGGGCGGATGAGAGTTTCTCCTGCTACTCAGAAGTGCCAGTGTTACTTCCAGGCTGGCAAATGTGGACCAAAAGCATCTAGGTATGTGGTTGTTTATTCTGGTGTTATGTGTCAGAGCAAAGGATGAACAATAAGTTCCCTACTGAAGTAGAATATATTTTTCAATGTTGTTTAAAGATTTGTGTTTCTCCCTACTGAAGGCAAAATAACCTGAACTCTCAAAAAATGAAACAACCAAAATGCCTAATGAAATAAACTTTTCAGATATATATTTGAGGACTACTGGTTGATGTACAATAATATTAGCCACATAAGTCTAAATGTATGCACAGACATTTAAACATTTTACAGGCCAACAAAAAGGGCAAGTAAAAAACCATAACCCACATCTTCAGAGTATCAAGGAAACAAAAAATTCCTAAAGCCATCAGTTCCTTTGAGTCTGAAGGACATTATCAGAACAACTGTTGAAATTTGAATGGGGTCGAGGACTGGATTGCAGTGATGTGTTGATGCGCACTCTATTTTGGTGGTTGTGTTGAGGTGATATTGGAGAGCGTCCTGGTTTGTAGGAGATACACACTAATGTATCGGCATCAGGACATCACAAAACATGGGACCTCAGTGTGACAGGTTCCTGTCCTATGGCTCAGGAAGAGAAGTTCTCTGCACAGGACCACAACTTCTGTATCAGTCTGCGCTTGAGAAGGTTTTATAGTTATTAAAAATGGGGATTTAAGAAAACCATGATTTTCGGAATTTGATGTAAGGAAATAGCTGACTCAACAAACACAACACAGGTCCTGTTCCCTTCTCACCCTTCTGTGCTCCAGCCTTGTCAGCTGCTCCCTCCACCTCATCAGCATGGCCAGCCCAGGCCTTCTAGAGAGAAAGCAGCTCAGGCCTGGAATGGGAGGTGTGCAGATTTTCTTATAGATCCTGAGCCCACTGTGGTGCAGGAGCTTCCAGATAGCCAAGTCAGAAAAGGGCTTTCGAACCTCCAAGTCTGTGTGTGTATAATCCTTTTCTGACCCATTTCACATCCTGAAATCTCCAATACCCCAAGGTCAAGCCACTGCCCTATTTGCTCTTCCTCACCATCATGACTAGGCTTTCTGTTCACAGACCACAAGGATGTGAATGGATGGATGGATAGAGAGAGAGAGAGATGATAGATGATAGATAGATAGATAGATAGCAATACTCATTATAAAGTATTGGCTCATGTGATTATGGTGACTCTCAAGTCCAAAACCTGAGTGTAGGCCGGCATACTAGATCCCAGGAGAGCCAGTGTGCACAGGAATTCTGAAGACAGTCTGCTGAACAATTCTTTTTTTTTGGGGGGGGGGGGCGGGGGGGAAGTGGATGGAGGGTGGAAGGAAATCAGTCTTACTCTCCTTTTCAGGCCTTCAACTGATTTGATAAGGCCTACCAACATGGGGAGGACAATCCCCTTAACTCCAAGTGCACCAACTTATTACATGTCCCAGGCTAAATTAGTCACCTCCTCTCCCCTCCCCTGTGTCCTAACACCCTAGTCCACAGTCAGAATATCACACCTGCTGAGAGGGGCTTGTATATTTTGTGTGCCATACTTCATGTAGTCATTGGAAATGCAATGTGTCCCTTTGTCAAATGTGTAAAACAGAGTACAGTAATCTGGACATGCTGGTACTCGATCAATTGGTGCTAACTTGAATTCCCTTGGGGAACAGGAGGTGAAAGAGTGTTCTCTTCAGGTGTGGGTCTCACTGTAAACGTAATCACCCTTGGCAAACCATCCTGACTCCATGCTTGCAACCCCACCTCTGCTCAGTTCACCACTAAGATCACTCCGGCCATCCCCAATAGGGAAACCCTAATGCATTCTTGCCTTGGCTCTTGTCATCCTTAAAAAAGTCTACCCAGTAAACATGTCTAACTGAATGATAACCAGACATCTGCTGTCCTTCTCAGTACAATATGAGCTCCATGAGGACACAGCACAACCCCTGTTCACCTTTACACCCTGAACCTGATAGTGACTGTCACATAATGAGTCAGTAAATATGGGGGTGACATGTGCTCCCTGGGGAAAGTAGGTGCTGAGGGAGGTGTCTTTTTATTTGACGGGGCTTTGGGTTTTTTTTCTTTGTTTTAGTACCACCGTTATAGTCCTCAGCCATCCAGTCAAATACAAAGATCATCATATTGATCATTTCCGTCTTCTTCTGCATCTGCCTGGGCATCCTGGTCCTTTGGAAATTAGGCATCGAGGAAGGTGAGAAGCAGGCTGGCCTCTGACCGTTGGGCAGGACATAGTCTGTTAAGGACTTTGGAGATGTGAGCCATGGTCTCCCCAAGCTCCTATCCCCTGACCCATCTCTACATAGAAACAATGCACTTTCTTAGTGCTGAGCCCCCACACTCCACAGTAGCCATTGGAAATCATGTATACGAAAGTGTAAGGGGATAATAGGGGAACATATGTAATACTTTCAACAATAAAGATTTAATAAAAATAAAATGTTTTTACTATGAAAATGTCAAATTTAAAAATCATACATAATTGTTAGCATTATATCATATTATCATGTTTATTTTTCATATTCATAGTTATTGTAACTAGTATTTTCAGTTTGATACCTTCAGGGGCCATTCTTTTCACAAGTGAAAGTCTCTCCTCATAACCAGCCTCCTTAAGCTCTCTGAGGCCTAAGGCAAAAAGAAATCCTTATGTTGCTTCAAGGGCATCCCACAGTGACTACTGTTGTTGGAGTAAATACCTCAGAGGTGAAAGAGCCTGCAGCCCATGGTGGTAGCCTTTAGGGCTAAGAGGCCACTTTTTTCAGCCTCAAAGTCACTCAGATACAGACCCTAACATTTTTTTAAATTTCTCCTTTTCATTCAATGACAAGAAATATTGGGCTAATTTTTTTTCCTTTTTTCAATTTTGACCTTCTAGTTCTTCCTCCTACTCTGTTCTGCATCTGAAATCTACAGGTTCCTAAATGTCAACTCTGAAAATAAAACATGAGGGTAGAGACTGCTATTTTTCTATACAGTTATTTATTTGCTAGAGGCCCAGTGCACAAATTCATGCACCAGTGGGGTCTCTTAGGCTGGCCCATGGGATCTGGCTGAAACCTGCTCTCTGACATCTCCCAAGGGATTCTGGATTGCAAGAGGGCACAGGCCAGGCCAATGGACCCCAACGATTGGCCGGACCCCAGCAGCAAGCTAACCTACCGGTCGGAGAGTCTGTCCCTGGTGGTCAGTGCATGTCATAGTGAGTGGTTGAGTGGCCTTAGCATATCATTAGCATATTACCCTTTGAAAGGTTGAATGGACAACCGGACGACCGGATATTTAGCATATTAGGCTTTTATTATACAGTGGGGCCTTGATTTACAAGTTTAATTCATTCCGTTACGGAGCTCGTCACTCAAATTTCTCATATGTCAAATCACTGTGACGTTCACTGTGCCAACTAGCGGTGGGGTATCTGAAGCTGGCTCGTACATAACCCAAATTTTAGTTTGCAACTCAAAGCAAAAAAAATCAGCCGAGAGACTGCTCGTATCTCGAAAAAACTCGTTAGTCGGGACACTCGTAAGTCAAGGCCCCACTGTATAGGATTTTTGCCCTCCTAAAAATACCTTTAACAGGGTACAATACAGAACATTCAAGTGTGCAATCTAAAACTTCCCAGACATGCTAAAAAGCAAGAAATTGTGATCCACAATCAAGAAAAAATATGAATCAGTAAGCACTGACTCAGAAATAAACAAGACTCAGAAGTTGCCCATAGGCAGCTAGCACTCTCCAGTATAGCCTCCTCTGGGTGGCATTTTCATATGCCTTATTATGTCATTAAAACACATATCCTCTTGATCTTGTATAATTTAACTAAAGGCCCAGTGCACGAATTCGTGCACTGGTGGGGTCCCTCGGCCTGGCCTGCAGATATCCCCAAAGGGGTTCTGGATTGTGAGAAGGCACAGGCCAGGCCAAGGAACCCCATCAGTGGACATGTGGGCCAGGGAGGGCTCCAGGGCGTGTCCGGCCATCTCACCCAATCCCAATTGGCTGGACCCCAGCAGCAAGCTAACCTACTGGTTGGAGCGTCTGCTGTTTGGTGATCAGTGCATGTCGTACCTACCAGTGGAATGGTAGAATGGTTGCTTAGGCTTTTATATATATAGATGGAAGGCTGTAGAGATAATTCACCCCATAATGGGCTTTGTTCATATTTCTAGTTTTGTTTGTGGAAACCTGAGCAAATGTGACTACTGATTTTTATATTTTTGAGCAGCACTGTGTCACCCAAATACATATCTCAGGAACCGAATATGGAAACGATCAGGGACGCTGGAGGTAAAGGACTGAGGATGGTGCCTGTTGGTTCCCCAGTTGAGCTAGTTCATGCATCGGGAGCAGTCCCAGAAGTCACAAGAAATTGTGGAGAGCCCCTTCTCCCCCAGAGATCATCCCCTTTGAATAGATGCCCTGAGCAGGTCTGGCTGGTTAGTAGTAAAAAAAAAAAAAAATGTTGGCTTTATTGACTGTGCCAGGCAGTGGCTAACTGGAGGCTTCAGTATAATATTGTGAAGACACTAAGATTCCAGAGTTCTCTGTTATCCTGTCTCATTTCTGGATTGATACAACCATCATTTTCCCTCAAACCTTGTTTTCTCCTTTTGGATCCTAGAATGCTGATGCTGCAAATGAACAGGCGAGACCCCTGCATGCTACCTGTGGAAGGAAGTGCAGTGAGAGTCAGCATGCATCTGGTTAGTGGAACCGCCAAGATGAATACATGCAAAGCCGGTGCTGACCGACGCACAGCTTTACATGTCATAATGCTAGAAATGTCTGCAGTAGGTTTACTCCCAGATGAGAGCAGGGGAGCATCTGTTGTGTTGAGGTGAGGAGTATTAGGGAGTGAAATTGAGAAGCCCTGGTAGGTTGATAGTCGTCATTCCCATTATTAATTTATAAAGACTGAAAAGTAGAAATATAACAACATAAGTTGTATTTTTTAAAAAAGAAAGTTCGACTGTGATATAAGAACCAGTGTTTAGAACAAGAGCAGAGTGGGCTTTTGGGCACTTCTGACCGTCTCATGTGGAGTCACTGTTCACCAGGGCAGGCATGTCAAGCACTGTGTCAAGGCCACGGGAATGGCGTGTAAGGCACCACACAAAACCACAAGCCTGGGCACCTGCATAAGGACTCCATCTGGACACCGATGTGAGTGGGGCCTCCGCTCCCGGTGGACAATAAGGACTGGGGGTCCGACCTCCCATGCTGGAGCCTGGCTGCAGCACAGGCAATGCTTAGAGCCCTGCGGGACTTCTCACCAGGGGGGTGCAGCCGCCTGCGGTGCAACCCCCGCCCACTTCTCTCTCCACCCGCGGACCCTCCAGTGGCTGGGAGTCTGCGCCTGATGATCGCTTCTAAGGAAGGCTCCCCCGCTCTGTGTGTGAGCTGCGTGGGATTCTATTGGCTCCCCGGGGAGGTCTTCCCCAATAAACCTGGCATCTGGGACTCAGAGGGGCCATGGGAAGCCGCCCAGTGTGTGCTCATGTGCTCCAGCCACGCCAGGCACCAGTGCAGCCTGCGGGGCGAGGGCTGCCCATCCCAGGAAACAGGAGGCCCTGCAGCCTCGGGCACTGGCAGTCAGAGAGTGAGGCGGACTCAGGACTTTCTGATGAGAAATCAGGTGTCAACCTTATAGAGATATCTTCGTAGAATTCAGCGGAGGTACCCAACTTTCAGGGTTGTGGTCACAGGCACTGGGCCAAGACAGAACCATCTCAGGGGAGGAGCAGGGGGTGGTGGTGTGAGGTGAGGAGGTGAGGAGGGAGGGGGCCACGGCCAATGAGGTGCTCAGGCTACACTAGACTCCACCACAGGATGCATCTGTGCCCCAGACGTTCCCCAGCAGTCAGAGCCAGCCCTCACCACCTGGGTCCTCACCGCCTGTGTCAGCGTTTGGTCCGTGTAACTTTCTGTCCTGGGCGCGTGCACTGCTGCTGAGGGTCGAGATGGAGGGCTATGGGTCTGAAGGTGTCAGCCTGGTCTTCTTGCTCCTGCTTCTGCTTTGGGAACCCGCTGCTCCAAGCTGTGAGTTGGGGAATTGAATCGGGACAAGGGAACCTGAGGAATGGAATGGGCGAGGAGGCCACGGTGGGGGTAGGGAACCTTCCCGCTGGGTGGGGCACAGACCCCTCCACCATTATCTCTGCGGGCGCCTTTCAGTCTCAGGGCATCTGCTTACCTGACTGCCTCTTTCCAGGTGAGAGGGAGGGAAATGAGCCTGTGACTTGTCACAAATAGTCCTGGGCGAAGGGACAGGGAGGAAGATGAAAGAGAGGACAGAGCCCCTCCTCCACCCCGAGCCGCAGCGCGACAGCACGCCCCACCCATGCGTCTCACTAAAGGCCTCTGCAAAGTGGGAGCCCGAGCCCCTGCCATCTGCATGGGACAGGACAAGGCCGCCCGGCCAGGCCATCAGGGGTTAGCTTGCTGTCCAGAATGGGGGAGGGGCGAGTGGTTACCTTTATTCCCACCCCTGCTTCCTCCCTCACAGGTGCTCCCTCTCTGGGCTACACATTCACAGTCACTCCTAATGGACAACCGTGGTGTGAAATTCAAGGCCAGGTCAATGGGAACACATTTCTTCATTATACCTGTGGTGGCAACAAGGTCAGACTCATCAGTGTTCTGGAGATGAATGCCACACAGGCCTGGAGTGAACAGAGAGACGCTCTGCAGTACGTGGTGGAAGAGCTCAAGAAGACCCTGCTGGACATTAAAGCAGAGATTCCTGCAACCAGCGGTAAGTTTACAAACCCAGGGTGGAGGCAGAACAGAGGTGTAGGGTTAGGGATCAGTTGTGTTTATGTAAATGTGGGAAGTCCATCCCACCCAAGAGACTCGGGAGTCAGTGTAGGACACAGAGGACAGAGCAGGACCAGGAGAGCAGAGGGGAGCAGAGGGCTGGACACCAGGTGGGGACAAAGGCTGTCAAGACCCAAGGCTGATCTCTTTCCCATGGGGCTGGGGACAGGTCCTCTCTCCCTGCAGGGCAGCATGATGTGTGAGCAGGAATCCAATGGACACACCACTGCATCCTGCGAGTTTGGATTGGATGGACAGATATCTCTCCGCTTTGACACAAAGACTGGACACTGGACAGTGCTGCACGGTGAAGGCATTCTGCTAAAGCAAACATTGGCGAGTGACAGAGCTATGATCGATCTCCTGGTTAGGACCTCAGCTGGAGACTGTAGGAAGTGGCTTCAGCAAATTTTGTGTCCCCTGAGCACACAAGGTAAATCTACAGAGGAAATGAAGTTGTAGGTCCCTTGAAATGACATTCACACTGTGTGTGTGTCTGTGTGTTGTGTGTGGTTGGAGAAAGTGACCCATCCACCACGGTGAGGGATTTTGGGAGAATAAGGGCCATAGGTATGTTCTGCGATCCCTCCTTGGGTTTCTCACTTCCTCACGTCTCTGCCTGCACATGACCTTGGACCACTCACTCACCGGGGATTCTTGCTGACTGCAAACCTGCGGGCACTGTTCTGTTTCCAGACCTTTTCCTTGTCCTGTTCCCTCTTCTCAGCATCATGTGTCTTCATCTCACCTGGTCTATTTCTGGAAATCCTTTAACACCACCTCACATCAGCCCTGGGAGGATTCTCTGCCACCTCCCTCAGGTGTCACCTCCCCTTCTGTCCCAGCAGGAGTGATTGTTGTAACCCTTGCTTCCCCCGTTCGCTGTGTGAGCCCCAAGGGGCCGGGGCCCATCTCCTCTCTTCGCTCCAACCCCAGGCTCTGTCACTGTGGCTGCCACACGTGGAGGGTAGAAACTGCACAATAGGATGACCTGGGACAGCAGGGGCTGAGGGGCATCTCCATGGAATTGGGTTCTGCTCGGTTGTCACTCTCCTGTTTCCATTACAGCTGCACCAACCACTGCCACAGCCACAGTCCCGTCCAAGGCCACAACCAACACGCCCATCACTTCGGTCCTCCCTGTGATCCTCATCTGCGCAATCATAGTTGGCATCTTAGGCTGGGCCCTTAGAGTAAAAGGTCCTGGGGGCATAATTACAGGTACCATGACAGGTACTGTTGATGGCACAAGCACTTCCTGAGCAGCACTTCAAAACGTATGAAGTGGAAAATTGGGTCTATGAATATTTTGCCTCAAAACAAGGAACGTTCTATTGGGACAGTATCCACCTATTACTTGAAAGATGGGGGAAATGGCCCTGACCAGTTTGGCTCAGTAGACAGAGCATCATCCTGCAGACTCAAGCTACCCAGGATTGATTCCGGTCAAGGGCATGTACCTTGGTTGCAGGCACATCCCCAGTAGGGAGTGTGCAGGAGGCAGCTGATTGGTGTTTCTGTCTCATGGATTTTCCTAACTCTCTATCCCTCTCCCTTCCTCTTTGTAAAAAATCAATAAAATATATTTTTTTAAAAGATGGGGGAAATGTATAGCTAGTGATGGACAATACTTTGAATAAAGCACTTTTGATGTTTCTTTTGAAATTATCGTGTTTTCTTTGATTACAAAATCCGAGTTATTAAATGGTACACCAATGAGAGCAGGGGAGCATCTGTTGAGTTGAGGTGAGGAGTATTAGGGAGTGAAATTGAGAAGCCCTGGTAGGTTGATAGTCATCATTCCCCTTATTGATTTATAAAGAATGAAATGTAGAAATATAACAGAATAAGTTGTATTTTTTTAAAAAAGAAAGTTTGGCTTTGATATAAACCCTGCTCGACTCAAGCCTGGCTGGCCAAGAACCACTGTTTAGAACAAGAGCAGAGTGGGCTTTTGGGGCACTTCTGATCGTCTCATGTGGAGTCACTGTTCGCCAAAGCAGTCATGTCAAGTACTGTGTCAAGACGGAGGGAGTGGCGTGTAAGGCACCACACAAAACCACAAGCCTGGGCACCTGCATAAGGACTCCATCTGGACACCGATATGAGTGGGGCCTCCGCTCCCGGTGGGCAATAAGGACTGGGGGTCCGACCTCCCCATGCTGGAGCCTGGCTGCAGCGAGGGCAATGCTCAGAGCCCTGCGAGACTTCCCCCAGGACGGGTGCAGCCGCCTGCGGTGCGACCTCCACCCGCTTCTCTCTCCACCTGCTGACCCTCCCATAGCTGGGAGTCTGCGCCTGATGATCGCTTCCAAGGAAGGCTCCCCTGCTCGGTGTGTGAGCTGCGTGTGATTCTATTGGCTCCCCGGGGAGGTCTCCCCTAATAAACCTGGCATCTTGGACTCAGGGGGGCCATGAGTGTGTGCTCATGTGCTCCAGCCAACCCAGGCACCAGTGCAGCCTGCGGAGCGAGGGCTGCCCATCCCAGGAAACAGGAGGCCCCTGCAGACTCGCGCACTGACAGTCAGAGAGTGAGGGCCAACTCAGGACTTTCTGATGAGATTATGAGGCATCTTCAGGTACCAAACTTTCGGGGTTGTGGTCACAGGCACTGGGCCAAGACAGGGCGAGCGGGGGCGGGCGGGGGCGGGAGTGGTGCCGGAAGGACAAAGACACCGACCCAGTCTGACTCAGAGGAACTCCCCACTCTGCCTCAATTCTCAAGGCAATCGGCCTCCAAACCCGAGGCACACGGCGCACCGCACGGGGGGCGGGGGCGGGGCCAGTGAGGTGCTCCGCAGCAGGAGACTCCACCGCAGGATGCATCTGTGCCCCAGACGTTCCCCAGCGGTCAGAGCCACCCCTCACCACCTCGGTCCTCACCGCCTGTGTCAGCGTTTGGTCCGTGTAACTTTCTGTCCTGGGCGCGTGCACTGCTCCTGAGGGTCGGGATGGAGGCATCTGGGTCTGAAGGTGTCAGCCCGGTCTTGATGCTCCAGCTTCTGCTTTGGGAACCCGCTGCTCCCCGCTGTGAGTTGGGGAATGGAATCCGGACAAGGGAACCTGAGGGATGGAATGGGCGGGAGCCACGGTGGGTGGGGAACCTTCCCGCTCGGTGGGGCGCAGACCCATCGACCCCTCCACGATCATCTCTGCGGGCGCCTTTCAGTCTTCGGGTGTCTGCATAACCGGCTGCCTCTGTCCAGGTGAGAGGGAGGGAAATGAGCCTGTAACTTCTCACAAATAGTCCTGGGCGAAGGGACCAGGAGGAAGATGGGAGAGAGGACGAAGCCCCCTCCTCCACCCCGAGCCGCGACAGCACGCCCCACCCACCCGCCTCACTAAAGGCTTCTGCAAAGTGGGAGCCCGAGCCCCTGCCATCTGGAAGCGAACAGGACAAGGGCCGCCCGGCCAACCATCAGGGGGGTCGCTTGCTGTCCGGAATGGGGGAGGGGCGCGTAGTTACCTTTATTCCCACCCCTGCGTTCCTCCCTCACAGGTGCTCCCTCTCTGGGCTACAAATTCACAGTCACTCCTAATGGACAACCGTGGTGTGAAATTCAAGGCCAGGTCAATGGGAACACATTTCTTCATTATACCTGTGGTGGCAACAAGGTCAGACTCATCCGTGTTCTGGAGATGAATGCCACACAGGCCTGGAGTGAACAGAGAGACGCTCTGCAGTACGTGGTGGAAGAGCTCAAGACGACCCTGCTGGACATTAGAGCAGAGATTCCTGCAACCAGCGGTAAGTTTACAAACCCAGGGTAGAGGCAGAACAGAGGTGTAGGGTGAGGGATCAGTTGTGTTTATGTAAATGTGGGAAGTCCATCCCACCCAAGAGACTGGGGAGTCAGTGTAGGACACAGAGGACAGAGCAGGACCAGGAGAGCAGAGGGGAGCAGAGGGCTGGACACCAGGTGGGGACAAAGGCTCTGTCAAGACCCAAGGCTGACCTCTTTCCCATGGTGCTGGGGACAGGTCCTCTCTCCCTGCAGGCAGCATGATGTGTGAGCAGGAATCCAATGTACTCACCGCTGCATCCTGCGAGTTTGGATTGGATGGACAGATATCTCTCCGCTTTGACACAAAGACTGGACACTGGACAGTGCTGCACGGTGAAGGCATTCTGTTAAAGCAAACACTGGCGAGTGACAGAGCTATGACCGATCTCCTTGTTAGGACCTCAGCTGGAGACTGTAGGAAGTGGCTTGAACAAGTTTTGTGTCCCCTGAGCACACAAGGTAAATCTACAGAGGAAATGAAGTTGTAGGTCCCTTGAAATGACATTCACACTGTGTGTGTGTCTGTGTGTTGTGTGTGGTTGGAGAAAGTGACCGATCCACCACGGTGAGGGATTTTTGGAGAATAAGGGCCATAGGTATGTTCTGCGATCCCTCTTTTAACACCACCTCACATCAGCCCTGGGAGGATTCTCTGCCACCTCCCTTAGGTGTCACCTCCTCTTCTTTCCCAGCAGGAGTGATTGTTGTAACCCTTGCTTCCCCCGTTCGCTGTGTGAGCCCCAAGGGGCCAGGGCCCATCTCCTCTCTTTGCTCCAACCCCAGGCTCTGTCACTGTGGCTGCCACACGTGGAGGGTAGAAACTGCACAATAGGATGACCTGGGACAGCAGGGGCTGAGGGGCATCTCCATGGAATTGGGTTCTGCACGGTTGTCACTCTCCTGTTTCCATTACAGCTGCACCAACCACTGCCACAGCCACAGTCCCGTCCAAGGCCACAACCAACACGCCCATCCCTTCGGTCCTCCCTGTGATCCTCACCTGTGCAATCATAGTTGGCATCTTGGTCTGGGCCCTTAGAGTAACAGGTACTGGGCATAATTACAGGTACCATGACAGGTACTGTTGATGGCACACGCACTTCCTGGGCAGCACTTCAAAACGTATGAAGAGTGGAAAATTGGGTCTCTGAATGGTTTGCCTCAAAACAAGAAAAGTTCTATTGGGACGGTATCCACAAATTACTGAAAGATGGGGGAAATGTGTAGCCTGTGATGGACAGTACTTTGAATAAAGCACTTTTGATGTTTCTTCTGAAATTATCCTGTTCTCTTTGATTACAAAATTCGCGTTATTAAATGGTACACCCAATGAGAGCAATGGAGCATCTGTTCTGTTGAGGTGAGGAGTATTAGGGAGTGAAATTGAGAAGCCCTGGTAAGTTGATAATTGTCATTCCCCTTATTAATTTATAAAGACTGAAATATAGAAAAATAACAGAATAAGTTGTATTTTTTTTTTAAAGAAAGTTTGGCTTTGATATAAACCCTGCCCTGACTCAAGCGTGGCTGGCCAAGAACCACGGTTTAGAACAAGAGCAGAGTGGGCTTTTGGGCACTTCTGACCGTCTCATGTGGAGTCACTGTTCGCCAGGGCAGTCATGTCAAGTACTGTGTCAAGGCCGAGGGAATGGCGTGTAAGGCACCACACAGAACCACAAGCCTGGGCACCTGCATAAGGACTCCATCTGGACACCGATGTGAGTGGGGCCTCCGCTCCCGGTGGGCAATAAGGACTGGGGGTCCGACCTCCCCATGCTGGAGCCTGGCTGCAGCGCGGGCAATGCTCAGAGCCCTGCGGGACTTCTCCCCATATGGGTGCAGCCGCCTGCAGTGCGACCCCCACCCGCTTCTCTCTCCACCTGCTGACCCTCCAGTGGCTGGGAGTCTGCACCTGATGATCGCTTCTAAGGAAGGCTCCCTCTCTGGGTGTGTGAGCTGCGTGGGATTCTATTGGCTCCCCGGGGAGGTCTCCCCTAATAAACCTGGCATCTGGGACTCAGAGGGGCCATGGGAAGCCGCCCAGTGTGTGCTCATGTGCTCCAGCCACCACAGGCACCATTGCAGCCAGCAGGGCGAGGGCTGCCCATCCCAGGAAACAGGAGGCCCTGCAGCCTCGGGCACTGGCAGTCAGAGAGTGAGGCGGACTCAGGAGGGGACATCTGGCCATCACAGGCAGGCTGCCCCTCGGCCCTCGGAGGCCACGAGTCCTACGCATTGAACTTGGATTTTCACAGGAAACAGCCATGGAGCAGCAGCCCCTGCAGGTCCCTGTGAGCGAGCCCGGGCCTCAGCCCTCTCCCAGGCGGACACATGCAACATCTGGCTGGCAGGGCCTTTGACCTGGGACACTGCCGCCTGTGTCAGGCTCTGGGGCTGCTGCCAGGGCTGATTCCCGCCCTGCCCTGCCCTGCCCTACACAGGCCTCTGTGGACAGGACAGACCAGAAGCTGCTCTGAGCCTTCCTGGGAGAGAGAGGCCAAGGAAGCCCAGAGGCCGGTGGCAGGGAGGGCTGTTGTACTCCGTCCTCCGGCACAGGGACCCTG